ATCTATCTATCTATCTATCTATCTATCTATCTATCTATCTATCTATCACTAGCTATCATTTACCAATCTATCATCTATCTATATCTTTTGGTTCTATGAAAAAGAGGGATAGACATGGGAAAAGAAACCCAGGACCTTTTTTTCATTAGCCTTATCACCAAAACTTGGAGGGAAAATTTCCTGAAAACCTAGATATGGGGTAGGGTTGGGGGTGATTGTGGCCCTGGTGTCTTGTCCAGGAGATGGCAGTGGGTACCATTTTTATCCCTGATACGTGGTCAAGACTCTGCCCCTCTCCCCAAATCTCTCCTGCTCCCCAGCCTTGTTCTTACCTGCTCCTGGAAGAACTCCACCAGGATACACTCCGGGAAGCCCTACACCTACAACAAAGTAAGTGAGGGTGAACAAGTAAGTGGTGTGAACAATTGAGTGGTGTAAACAAGTAAGTAAGATGAACCCAAAGACAGAAGCAAGAGTCATAGGGAATAATTTTGGGTCCCATTGAAGTCACAGAATTTTCCCTTCTCCCCAAATATACCTTGGCTGCCCCATCTCCTCAATCAGGATCATTTCTTGATCCCTTCAACTCTAACTCTCTCTCTCTCTCTGTCTCTCTCTCTCTGTCTCTCTGTCTCTCTGTCTCTGTCTCTCTCTCTGTCTGTCTGTCTCTCTCTCTCTGTCTGTCTGTCTCTCTCTGTCTCTCTGTCTCTCTCTCTGTCTCTCTCAATGATCTCAAGAAGGGTGCCATTGTCCCCTCTGATATTCTTCTCACAGGTCCCAGACAGATTCCCCACCTCTCAGCCCCACTCCCTCCCCAAGATCCACCCCCTACTTTCCCTAAATGACCTGTTAGGGATCCATTGTCCACAAATTTATCCAAAGTCTTCTGAAACATGTTTCTATTTCCAGTCTGTCCCACCTCCCCCGGTGACGAGTTCCAGATGTTGGCTCCCTGATATGCAAAGTAGGACTTTTTGTCCTAAAATCACCTCCCCTGAGCTGAGGGGAGGCTGGGCAGACAGGGTGGTTGAGCACAGGGTCTAGCACATAGTAGGTGTCTAATGAATGCTTGTTACTTGATTGCCATAAACAAAAACATTAAGTGTCTCTTGTCCTCCTCTGAGTTCTACCACTAACTCCTTGTGAACCTTGGACAAACTCCCCTCTTTCCCTGAGCCTCAGTTTCTTCCTCTGTAACATGACAGGGTTGAATTAAACAAGCAGATTTTATTGATTTTGTAACCGTGCTGTGAAGGTTTGGTGAGCAGAATCATTGTCTCATTTGACTTCTAGACAGCATAGAACAAGCAGGGGCCTTATAGGCTATTCACTCTAACCTTTTTATTTTATAGAAGAAGACATTGAAGCCTAGAGAAATTTAGTAACCTTTCCAGGGTCACACCGGCTAAATGGCAGAGTCTGGATTTGAACTCGGGCCCTTTGATTCCAAATACGGAGTATTTTCTGCTACATCACACCGCACCATCTTTTCAAGCTTTTGTCTCTGGACAGAAGGGACCTCAACGTGTTTGTCTGTCCTCACGGCATGGTGCCCCCAACCACGGCGCTGACCTCCTCTTGCATGTACTGACCTGGCACTTTCCCTGGCTTTCCTGCAGCCCCTACACCTACTCCAGTCTGAGGAATCACGGCACCTGGTGGGGGAGCAAGAGAGGGTGAACACATCAGAGGCAGCTCCAGGAAGACCCCAGATGCCCTTGGGCAATGATGCCCCTCGGTGGAGAAACAGACAGGACAGAAAGACTTTACCTGTGGACACTCCTCCGCCAACTCCTCCGACACCACCAATGCCAAGACCTGGAGAATCAGAGAAGCAGAGCATAGCTGCCTAGTCCTGGCTCTGCCTCTTCTTAACCGAGTGATTGCGGGCATGTTACACCAGACTGGCCTAAGGACATGAGGGCACTGCTTCCTTCCTCTGAGGGAGCCCCGCCAGGGAGTACTCACCAGCCTTGGCGGCAGCTTTATATGCTGCTTCTGCTGCAGGACCCGCCAGCAGTCCCCCTGGGTAGACCCCCCCTGGGAAGCCGCCCAGCCCTGTGGAGAGAAGCAGCGTGTCATTCCCACTAGAGGCAAATGCAGACATCCCAGAATGTGTTCCTGTCCCCAACCCCATGGGAGATGCTCAGAAACCACATTTCCTACACTCCATCCCCCACTCTTTCCCCCTAGTTCAAATCCTGCCAGCTGTCCGAATCTCATCTCTCCCCACTCCCCACCAGCCCTCTCTGGACTCTTTCAGCACTGACTCATTGGTAGTGGGTGCTTGAGTTAATCATGCACTGTCTCATCTCACTCTCTATTCAGGCTGTTAGAGTGAAAGGGAGTCCTAGGCTAGTCCAGATGTTCCTGACCTCTGGGGTCCATGGTAGACTTGGAGGAGACCATGAACACAGATGAGAAAAAACACATATTCTAATTTTCATTAACCTCTAACTGAAATTGAGCATTGCCTTCAACCACAAATGCAGGGGGCCATTGAAGCGGTCTGCAGGCTTTTATGAGACTGCCCAAAAGGTCCATGACACCAAAAAGATTAAGAATTCCAGATCTAGTCCTCTTCCTTCACGTGACAGTGGGGGAAACTGAGGCCCAGAGAGGAAAGGTGACTCGTCCAAGGCCACCCAGTTCTGTAATGGTATGTTGGTCCTTTCTCTCCACGTGGAGGGTAGGAACCATGTCTTGTATATCTCCCATAGGATTCTGGGATTATTTGTTATAATCAATTGACCTGAACAAAATTGAAAGGCAGAGTGATAGATATAATGCAATAATAGTAGATACAATGGTGGAATTGGCTCAGGAATTCCACCTGAATTCCTCTGACACCCAAAGCCAGTGTTCTTTCCCATGGTAGCTGAGCTGAGGCTTTGTTCTGGCCTCTTTGCCACCATCTGCTTTCGCCTGCCTCCTTCTCTCCCCATCCCATCTCTCTCTCCTCACTTCTGACCTGTCCGATTGCTCCCTCCATCTCCTGCCTCTCAGTTGGGAGCCTCGCTAGTTGGCCATCACCCCCAGACTCTGCAGTCTTTCTCCTTCCTGAGCTCTTTCCCCCAGCCTGTTGCTTGGGGAGTCCATCCATGAGCAGATTGAAACTGAAATGTTTATGAGGGGTGGAATGGGTCCCTCTGGCTCTGGTCTCCTTTCCCCTTCCAACATCTGGGGCTAATCATTCCCTCTTTCCCTGCTCCAGGCAGAAATTCCACTGCCTTTGGCTAGAGGAACTGATGGGCAACAGGAGTTCAGAACTGTACCGAGTTTGTTTTCAATTATGTGGAAAGACGGTCTTTGTTTTTCTTTCCACAAACTGGAAACACAAAGCCTGGGACTGCTGGGACCCAGGGGGCCACTCAGGAAGAGACCCAGTGGGGTCAGAGCCTTTCTAGTGCATTCCAGAAAGTGACTGGGATCACAGGCTGGGGGGGGGGGTGATAGAGAGCAGGAGGGATGGGAATCTCTGAACACCCGGCTGGCGTGTGGCCCCCCAGGAACGGGCCAACCTCCTCTGACTCACGTGGAAGGGGAATTATGGTATGTACTTAGGTACACTGGTTTTGGTTATGCCTTCTCTCTCCCATGCCGGTCACTCCATCGGGAGAGGGAATCGGCAGCACCCGTGGGACGGGGTCAGCCATTAGGGTGGGCTGCAGACCCCTAAGAAGATCCTCATTGGCCATGTCTAGGCAGCTGGGAGCTCAGCTCCAACACCACCTCAGTCAGGAAGCCTGCCTTGATTCCTTCAGAGCAGCTGTGATCTCCCCCTTTTCCTGTACTTTGGCAAACCACCCAGTACTCAGCTACAGCTTTTGGAGGGCAGAGGCTGATTCACTTTTGTCTTTGCATTCCCATCGCCTAACCTAATGTCTGGCACATAGTAGGTGCTCAAAAGTGCTTGTTAATTAACTGACTGTGTGATGTGTGGGGTCTTTGTTTCACCAATATTTTGGCATCTCTCTCATAACACGGGGCTAGGCACATGGGAAAAGCTCAGAGAAGGGATGAAAAGGTCATGGACCTAGAGCTGGAAGATGCATTGAGGTCAATGCCTCATTTTTTACAGATGAGGAAACTGAGGCCTTGAAACTTAACTGAGCAGGTAAGTGACTTGCCCAGAATCAGCCTGCACATCTTTCTGCCTCCAAATCTGGTGCCCCATCTACTACGCTGTGCTGCCTCAAAACCTGTCAATTTATCGTCCCCATCCTGGTCAAAGAGAAAGGAAAAAGAAGCAAAGGAGAGTTATGGGGGTGACCATGGTGGGGTCAGTGTCGCAGAAGCCAAGGGGGGGTTAGCCCTTGGTGTCAAATGCTGCAGAAGGGTCAGCAAGGGTGAAAGAAGGCCTTTGGGTTTGGGGCCAAGAGGATCGTGCAGATGACCTCTGATGGAGGCGTTTCAGCGGGGAAAGGGAGGGATAGAAAGAACACCGGGAGTGGAATCAGGGAGGTCCTCATCTGGGTCCTAAACTTCCTTCTAGCCTTTAAGGAAAAAGACACAAATGGGTGATCTCAGACAAGTCTCTCTGACCCACAGTCTCTTTCTCTTTAAAGTAATCACAACCCCAGACTCAGAGTTGGAAGTGATCGCAGAAGCTACCTAGCCCTACCTGTCCCTGACTAAGAATCACCTGGAGGATATCTGTCCATAAACAGCCAGCCAGCCTTTGCTTGGAAACTTTCAGTGACGGAGAGCTCACTCCTGGGTGAAGCCGTCCTTTCTCCTTTTGGACAACTCGGTCAGGAAGTTGGTTTTTTTCCTGACACCGAGGCTTACCTTGTCTCTTTGTAACTTCCACTGATTGCTCAAAGACCTGATTTTGGGGACTAAGTTGATTCCCTTGTCCACAGAACAACCCTTCAGATTCCCAAAGACTGCCATCAGGCATCCATGTGCCTTCTCTAATCTAATTATCATTAAGTCCTTCTACCAGCCTCAAGTCCTTCTGAGCTCTAATGTTTCATGTCCACAGCTCCTTCCAGCCTGGATATAGCTCCTTTAATACATGAGTCTATCAAAAGTAATCTCCATTTCTCCAGTGCTTTAAAATTTGCCAGAAATTTTCCTCCCCTGTCAGGTCATTAGTACAAATATTACGGCCCCATTTTATAGATGAAGAAACTGGGAGCCACAGATGTTAAGTGGCTTGTCCCAGAATTATCCCGTGAGTGAAGGTTGGAGCCAAACCTTGAGCCCAGGTTCATTGTCTGAGTCTGGTCTACACTGCCTCGTCTGAGCTGATAAGAGTCAAGGTGACTGCCAGAGAGAAGCCCATCGAGGTGCTCTTGGAGTCACAGAATCTTAGCTCTGGAAGGGACCTGAGAGGTTTCCTGTTGCTCGCCCCCACAGTGCTCTGGTCTTCTCTGGCTGACTAGAGATGCCAGGCCCGTAGGACCAACATCTGCCAATGCTCCTTCAGAACATGGAGTGCCTGTCCTCTTCTTCTTCCCCTAAGGACCTGCCCTAAGGGAGGCTGTTGGTGTCAGAGGAACAGCAGGAAACTTGCCCAAGCCTGAACTCTGGAGTCAGAGGACCTGGGTAAAAATCCCACCACTGTCACTTATTATCTCTGTGACCCTGGGCAAAAGTCACTTCACTTCTCTGGGCCTCAATTTCCTCATCTGTAAAAGAGGAATCGTGATACCTGCCCTCTTGGTTTTGGGTGACAAGACAATAAAATGGCAGAAGCTGGGAAGAGACTTTGGGGAGGAAATGTGCAAAGTGTATTATGAGAGTGAGGCCTCGTTTCCCCCTTCGGTAAAACTCTCTGGGCCAGCTGATGGCAGATGTTGTTTTCCTAGGACTGGACCTGACTTGAGGCCTTTGAAAAGGAAGGGGAAGATTTCCCTTAGAAGAGAATGGTCATCTAAGCTCCCTTGTTGGGGCTGCTGGGGATTTGAAAAGGTCGAGTTCAAGGTTTGTCTGGGTTCTTCGTAGATGGCCATTCTAGATTCTGGAGTCCTTCTTGAGGTCCCACCACCACTGATGTCTCTTAGGATTCAGCTGATGGATAATCTCGGGGGCAGGGTAGGGAGGGAATAGAACGTCCCTGGGTAAGGCTGGAGGCTGCCCTGACTTCCTCTCAGGGACGGGAAGAGAGTGGTCCCTGAGAGGGAAAGGGCTAGCCTTTTCTTCTCTTCTGCCATAAGGAGCCTCCTTGTGTTATGTTCAGCCGACAGGGGATGGATGAAACATTGGGAAGTCCAGAGGGGGCTCTAGGGAGTCACTTTGTTTCCAAGGGAACAGACCCCCACCCCACCCCCAAGGGAGCAGGAGAAGCTCTGGGCCACCCTCAGTCCTCGCTAACGTGCCCTCCAACCTCAGTGTGAAGATAGAGTCACAGCCTGGGAGAAGGATGGAAGGGTCTTAGACTTACCACCCCCAAGTCCAGCAAGACCACCAATACCTGGAAGGGAGAAAATGATTGAATGAGATGAGGGAGGGAGAGGGAGGATGGCCAGCAGGACCCTCCGCCCCCCCCACTTGAAATCAGACAGGCTTATGGATACCCCTCCCCCCAACATCCCTCTCCTTTCCTGGAAGCAGCCCTCCCTCCCTTCTACTGTCTTCCTCCCTCTTCCCCTCCCTCTCCTTTGCTCCTTCCGGTTCTCTCACTCCGCCTTTCTCTCTCTTTCCCTCATTTTCTCTCACTTCCTTCCCCTCTGCATTCTATTCCACTCTTTCTACACGTCTCTTTTCTCTCTTACATCTCTGTCTCTCACTCACTCTGGGAGTCTCTGTCTCCTTCTCCATGTCTTTTTCTTCCTCTCCATCTCTGTCTCTTCCCTGCTATCTTCCTCTGACTTTGTCTTTCCATCATGGTCTCTGTCTCTGTCATTCTCTATTTGGCTACCTCCTTCTCTTTTCTTCTCTCTGTCTCGGCCCCTCTCCAGCCTCTCAGTATCTTTTTGATGTTCATGTGCTCCCTCTCGGTCTTCCTCTCCATCTTGGTCACTCTGTTTACCTGTCTCTCCCCACTTTTTTCTCTCTGCTCCTCAGTCTGCCTGTCTCTGTCTCTCCCATGTCTCTTGTTCCCCTGTATTGTCTCTGCTGTTCTATGACTCTCTGCCCCTTTGCATCTGTATCTCTGTCGTTCTCTGTCTCTGTCTCCACTCTGCCTGTCTCTCCATCTCTGTGTCTCACTACTGTCTATCTCTGTCTCTCTGTCTCTCTGTCTATGCCTGTCTTTCTCTCTGTCTTTCTTCCCCACTGTCTCTTTTCCTCTTTCCTTCTTTTGCCCCTGTTTCTGCCTGTGCTTTCTCTCCCCCTCCATATCTGCTTGTCTGCCTATCTCTGTTTCTTCCTTCCCTTCCTTCTGTCTCTGTCCCCATCTCCATCTCTGTCACCACTCTGTCTCTCTCTGCCTCCCTGGCCCTCTTGACTCTACTCCACCCCATACAGGAGGCTGGGAGAGGCCAGCTTCCGGCTCCTCGAGCCCCAGACACCCCAGGCTCCCAGCTACACAGGGCCTCTCACCGTGCCATCCCACACTGTGGGAGTGGCTTATGCCAGGCAGCAGCTCAGCTCAGCTCAGCTCTGTGGACACCAAGCCCTGCTGCCTGCTGGGGATCCCTGGCACAGGTCTGCTCAGGGGGTGGAGGAGGAGGCAGTCAGTGGAGCTGAGGCAGCTGTGATCTCTCCCTCCCTCTCACCCTGAGCCAGGGGATTAGTTGTTCCCAAGTCCCAAACATGCAGCCCAGCCCCAGGAAGGCCTCCAGAAAGCAGGCTCACCCAAATGTTACCACTTCAGGCTCTCCAACCCTAATCCTCAGTCTAGAAGGATCAGAGGCACCCAGATTTGGGAGCTTGGAGGGATCCCAGCCTTCTCAGTTTACAGAGGGGGAAACCAAGGTCCATCAAGGTAAGGGACTTACTCAAGGTCACACAAGTCAGAGACAGGATTTGAACCCAGATCTCTACCTCTAGCGCCAATGCTCATTCTATTGTACCAGACAACCTTGAGAAGTCATGGTGTCCACACCTCTGCCTTGAAGCCATTCTGGACTGCACAGTTATGTTATCAATTATCAATTTATATTCACATTGCTCCTTTCATCCAGGGCACACCCCACTGCTTTCCTTATGGATTGGACTAGGGGTTGGTCATTAACTTGAAGTATGTGACTTGGGCAAGGAGTCTCAACTCTCTGCTCCTATACGTATTCCATTATAAAATAGAACTAATAATATCTGCCCCAATCACCTCTCAAGGATGCTGGTAGAGATGCCCTGTCCTTCCCAGGGAACAGCAGGTGGGAAGCCAGGGGTAGTCATCTCATCTGTATGGTTTTCTCCTCTTTAAAAATGAGGGGGTTAGGGGCAGCTAGGTGGCTCAGTGGTTAGAGCACCGGCCCTGAAGACAGGAGGACCCGAGTTCAAATCCCGCCTCAGACCAAACACTAGAAACTTACTAGCTGTGTGACCCTGGGCAAGTCACTTAAACCCAGTTGCCTAAAAATAAAAAAATGAGGGAGTTGGAGATGCCTAGCTAGATGGCTTCTAGGTCTGGGATCCTATAAGCTCAGAGCACATGTGACCTTGGCAAACTCACTTCCCTTTCCTGGGCTTCAGTTTACCCATCTGTAAAATGAGGCAGTTGGACTTGATCCTTGCAATGCTATTCATGAGCCTGTGCGCCTGCGCCTGGAGGCTGGGGAGCAGCCCCAGAAAGCATCCGTGATTCGCCGGCGATAAGGCAGCTGACAAAGGCTGGGTTTCTCCCTGGCTTCCTCCCTAGCTTCCAAAGAAATCTGAACCGCTTTTAGCCCCTCCGGCACTGAAATTCTGCTGTGGCTCCCAGCCCAGATGGATTTTCGAGAGAAACTGAATCCAGGTGTTTTTCAGAAGGTTCATTTGCACTTGGCTCCCCGAACAATGGGATGTTGTTAAGAGGCCCCCCCCCCCCCCCCCCGACATCCTGTAAAAGCTTGAGCCATCTCAGACCTCCGCTCTCAGAGACAGGTATGGATGCCGAGCACTAAGGTAGCACCAAACCCCGTGTGGAGAAGGTCTCCCTCGAGGGGAGCCCCTGGCAACTCCCCAGTGGAGGGGCAGTGGTGCCCAGCTCCCATCCCCATCCAACACGCCCTTTGAGCCTTGCTTACTCTTTTTTTATCAGCACCCAGTGTCAGGAAGACCTGAGTTCAAATCCAGCCTCAGACATTTACTAGCTATGTGACCCTGGGCAAACCACTTCTGCCTACTTCTGTTTCATCTGTAAAATGGGGATAACAATAGCCCCTACCTCCCAGAGTTGTGTGGATAAAATGAGATAACATCTACACGGCGCTTTGCAAATCTGAAAGCACTCTAAAAATGCTATTACTATTGTTGTTGTTATATGCTGCGATCGAAAGTGTTAGATTTGTCAATGCCTATCTGTCTTTGGGTAAGCTGCTGCCCCTCTCTGGGCCCCAGTTCCTTCATCTGTAAAATGAGTGTGTGGACTCGGTAGCCCCAGCAGTTCCTTTTATCCTAAATCTCTGATATGGAATGCATAAAGTGCTATATAGTCATGCCACTTTGATCAAAGATCCTACAGACAGTAACAACTTCAGTCTGCAGAGAATTTCCAGATGCCTCATTTCCCAAAGCTAAGGATGCATTCTGGAATCCTCCTTGAGGAAGCTTTAGAGATCCACCCTCATCCTCATAATACCCTTCTTGACAGCTCATCTGTCTTTTTTATCCTCTCAGCCTTTAAGGAGAATGGTCTTGCAGAGTAGAGGGAGCTTTCTAGCCAAACGGGGGAGACATTCATTGTTCCCCCTCTTGGGGAATCCTCAGTCTGCTCCAATTTCCCTTTTGGACTTTCCCTTTTCTCCCAATCATCCCTGCCCCCCACCTGCCAGCCCTCTTCAACCCATCACAACTCTGGCCCCTGGATGTAGTCAGAGAGGGTGATCAGGGATGGGGGAAAGGGGAACCGCCTTACCTGGTTTGGCCGGTTTGCCTCCAGCTCCAAGTCCTGGAGAAAGAAGAATAATTGATCAGCCCCAACCTGTTTGAGAAGTTCTCCGAGAAAGGGTCCTATTAGACCACGGTCATCATCTCTACTGTGGAGGGCACTGTCTCAGCTCTTTGAGTTGAAGACGGCTAAAGCATTTCCCAGTGGACTGCTACTGACTTTCTCTCCCACCCACAATTCTCTTTCTCCATCTTTCTAGAGAATAGAAACTAACTCTTAGACTGGGTCCTTCTGAGAGCCCCAAGGTCATCTGGAGAACATGGTATTGGACAAGGGTGTCTAGAAGCCTGGGTTATTCTGGTCCTGACTCTGTCTTTGTCTTGCTTTGTGACCTTGAGCAAGTCACCTGACCTCAATGAGCCTCAGTTTCCTTATTTGTAAAATAAATGGATTGAAACCAGATGATTTTAAGTTCCCTTCCATCTCCTACAGGATAACGGGGAAAATCCAGCTCCTGTCTGAGTCTGTGAAAGTGTTTTGAACAGCAAACACTAGATAGCATATTAATCTCTGGCTGTGAGTGTGGCTACCAGAGATCCGGCTCTCTTGTTCTCTGGCATATAACGAGGTTCTTAATCTTACCTGCTACTCCTAGACCCCCAACTCCAAGGCCTCCAAGACCACCAGCTCCTACAACCAACCAGAGAGAAAGTTTTTGTTAGTTCCCTTTCCATCAGCCCTGGGTGGCACTGCAGCCATCTCTCTTCCTGCACAAACCAGGCTTGGTCACTATTCCTGGCCCAGAAAGGATTCTAGTCAGCCTCAGTGGGAGGAACCCTGCTGGAGCTGTGTGAGACTGGGTTTACTCATGGCCAGAATACACGGTGCTCACACAAGGTCATTAGAGAAGGTCTCCACATCTCAAACTCTCTCCCATTAAAATTCCACCATTAGTGCCCTTCCTTAATTGAAGCTTTTGTAGGCTTGTGTATCTTTTTGAAAACTTAGTTTTGTGTTTTTCAGTGAATGAGGACTTGTTTTATCTCCCTCCCACCTTTTCCCTCCCACTGGGAAAAAAAAAAAGCAGTCAAACAAAACAGTCCCTGATTGGCCGTGTCCAGAAACACACATCCGTCTCCATCTTGAGTCCGTCACTTTTCTGTCGGGCCATGGGCAACATGCATCACTTCCCTGGAATCATGATTGGTCACTGCATTGAACAATGACACTCACATCTTATAACTTGGCTGAGGCATTATGCTCCCCGGGGAAGAGATAGCTAATCTACCCATCACCACTCATTGTCCCCGACTGTGTAGAACCCCAAGGCCATGAGACCACAGGCTGGGGGAGCAGAGGAGAGGGGGAGATTCCAGAACAGAGAGGCCTGTCCTGGGGGAAACAGGGCCCTTCTTCTCCTTCCTTCCTGTCACCCCCCACACCCACACCCAGCCACTTAGCACTAGGAGAACTAAGGCAGGGTTGGGGTAATACTAAGAGGCAGTATATTGGGTTCTAATCCTGACTGTGTGACTTTGGATGAGTTATTTCCCTTCTGTAAACTGAGGAGGGTCAGACCAAATGATCACTCTAAGGTCCTTTCCAGCTTTGGCCTTCTAGGATTCTAGAGCTTCTGTGATGGTGAGAGGTACTGAGAGAACCAGGGTTCTCGGTTCCTGGCAAAAAACAAACAAACAAAAACTGTGAAGGCTGCCATGTTGTTCTTCCTTGAGTTCATACCAAGTGGGGTTGGGGAGGGAATATCCAATGCAATCCCAACAAGGATTCAGTAAGCACCTGCTATGTACCAGGCACAGTGCTGGGTGCTAGAGACATAGAACAAAAATAGTCCCCTGTCCTCAGTGAGTTTCCATTCTACTGGGGAAGGGGGTAGGAATTCAACGTTCAATCCAGTAGGCACAGGCCTGGTAGTTTGAGGGTGAGGGAGAGCAAGGGGAATCAGGAAAAGCTTTCCTGAAGGGAGCTGTATAACAGCCTTAAAGGAAGCTCAAAGAGGGGCAGCTAGGTGGCACAGTGGATAGAGCATCCACCCTGGAGTCAGGAGGACCTGAGTTCAATTCTGGCTTCAGACACTTGATACTTACTAGCTGTGTGACCCTGGGCAAGTCACTTCACCCCGATTGCCTCACCAAAAAGCAGAAAAAAAAGAAGAGGGGAAAAAAAAGGAAGCCAAAGGCTCAAGAGGACAAGTAACCTCTGTCTCTGAAAACTTCCTGCCTCTAGGCCATCTTCCCTTGGGCCATGGCCCCATCTCCTGTTACTATATATTTATTTTGTTTAAATGCCTGGAATTCGCTCCCTGCTTATCTGCCTTACAAAGACATCCTTTCTTTCTTTAAGACACTGTTCCAAGTACCATGCCCACACTACCTTGTGTTTAGTTACATAATATTTATTCTATATACACCTATATGCATATGGAGGCAGCTAGGTGGTACTGTCAGCCTCAGTTTCCTCATCTGAAAAATGAGGATGATAATAATCTCACAGGGTTGTTGTGAGGATCGAATAAGATAATATCAGTAAAACTCTTTCTTAAGGTGCTATATGGGGGCAGCTAGGTGGTGCGGTGGATAGAGCACTGGCCCTGAAGTCAGGAGGATCTGAGTTCAAATCCGGCCTCAGACCAAACACCTGACACTTACTAGCTGTGTGACCCTGTCACTTAACCCCAATTGCCTAAAAAAAATGTGCTATATAAATAGTGCTTTAAAATAGCACTTTAAAGAAGTTAGAACGTTATTGTTGTTTGTCCTTCGTTCTGGAAGAGGACCATGACACCAAGGAGGATGCTATGACATGCAAGTGTTAGAACATAAGACTCTTAAGGAGAGGTGGGTTGCTTTTGTGTTTTTCTGGCACACAGTAAGCACTTAATAAATGCTTACTGATGGATTTTGGGGATGAGATAATAATAATAAGGCAGCTAGGTGGCCCAATGGATAGAGCGCCTGACTTGAAGTCAGGAAGTGAGGGGAGGGGAGGTGAGCTTAGGGAGAAGAGGGATGGAACCATGTGCATCTTACCTGGATAGAAGACCCCTCCAGGAACAGCCCCAGGAACAGCCCCAGGAACAGCCCCTGGGACCCCTACAGAGGAAACAGGGAATTCTCTGTTAGTCATCAGTCCAGCTCGTGGGTACAGGTGGGAGCCCCAACTTGTGGCGGTGCTGATGGACACGACCACGAAACCCCACGCATTGAGACGGAGCCCTATTGAGGCTCCGCTCTAGGGTCCTTGGGAGAGCAAGGGAGAGACACAGTCTCCCCCTTTGGACCCTGCCTCTCCCAAATCTGGTGAAGATGACCACATTCGCAGCTCCTCCTCAAACACCGGGGGTGCCCCCCTGAATCATTCATACCCTCTTACTTCAACCCCCTGGTGACTAAAGCTACATGTTTCTGAGCTAGTGAAGTAAGGAATTTATTGAGGGAGGGAAAAAAAAGGATTAGATTTAGAATCAAAGAAACTGGGTATAGAGTCTGGCTGACCCTGTATGACCTTGGGAAAGTCACTTCATCTGGGCCTCAGTTTCCTAACCTGTAAAAATAAGGAAGCAAAGCCAGCTGGCCTGTGGGGAACCTTCCATCTCTCAGATCTATGATCTTATTATACCTTGGGTGAGTGGTCAGCCCGTGACTGGGGCTAGGTGGGCAACATATGGAAAGGTCAGTCCGTGGTTAGGATTAGGGGTTACTCTCTGCTCAAGGCCAGGGCTCATGTGCTTGGGATTAGAGGTCAGTCTGTGCTCAGTCGGAAGGCACAGAATTCCTCTTCGTAGAAAGCTCCCTTGGTTTCACCTACTGGGCTCAACAGCCAGCCCACTCCCTCCCCTTTCCCCCATAGCCCACCCCTCCAAGTCAAAATTGAACCCGCAGAAAGAGCTCCAGAAACTTTTGGCCTTTCTGGGATCCCAGTCCATTAATGATTAAGCAATGAGGTCACCCTGGTAGGCTTTCCAGAGAAAATACTCTCATTCTCACACTGATAGGACCAAGCATGAGGTCACTGTCCTCAGCCCCAGCTCGTGGGGTGCAATTGGGAGGGGACTGGGCTGGAGGACGGAGGAGAGAGTCCAGCCCTGGGAATAGATCTGGTTATTGAAAGACTTAGCCCAAGGCTCCGGATTCCAAAGGAAACACCAGAGAATGAATGATGTGGACAGGTACAGCCTGTAAATGACAACGGCCCATGTCAGCACCTGCTTTTACTATTGCTGCGTGGGCAGGGTCCGGATCCCACAGCACGTTCAGGGGACAAGGTCACGGGCCCCATTCCTTTGTAGGTCAGTTGGCTTCGCACAGACAAGAACTAGGCTTCCAGCTACAGGCTGCTTTCTCCGCATTGCTGCCCCAGATGAGACCTAATTCCAGCCACAGACAGATCTCCAATCCCAGGCTCCTAGACTGAGTTCGAATGGTGGCCATAGACCAAACCCTAAGCTTAGACACAGAGTGATCCCTCACTTCACGGACTTGTCCCTAACCCTGACTGTGGACCGATTCCCCAAGAGATAGCACGGTCTGATGGATGCGGCATGCGGAGTCTGCCTCAGACACTTAGTAGTTTTTCCTCATCTATAAAATGGAGTTGCGGGGAGGGAGATTGGACCCAGTGGCTTCTAAGATCTCTTCCAGCACTAAATTGATGATTCTGTGATTTAGAGACTGACCCCTGGCCATAGATTGATCCTCTAATCCTGGTTACAGACTGACCCTCTCACAAACAAGGGTTATTGATCTTAAGAGTTTCTGGATGAGTGAGGATGGGTGCATCAGGGCAGTTACTGTCCACCATGGGCAGCACAGGACAACTGAATCTGGGTTGGGAGCATCCTCCCAGAGGGCCCTACGTCTAATGAGGACAGCCTTCAGTTCAGAGCTGGAGAGAGGTGTATACAAATACATGGAATCAGAGACTGAGATTGAAAGACAGAGTGATAGAGACGGATCCAGAGACAGAGAGATAGAGAAGGAGGAAGGAGGGAGAGACAGAGAGAAAGAGACTGAGCTCCAGAGATGGAGAGATAGAGAAGGAGGAAGGAGGAGGGGTGGAGAGGAGACACTGAGAGATAGAGACAGAGAGACAGAGAGAGACAGAGATGGATGGTGACAGAGCCTCTTCTGGCTACCAGGAGAGCTGAGAGACACATCCGCTCTCTACCCACGTGAGCCAGCACATCTGGATGGCTACATAGTGTCTCCATCAGCTGCAGCCTATCACCGCCACTGAGCATCTGAGACCCACCCCCTTCCACTCAGGAAAGAAATACCAACCTCCCTCCTTCTCCTGCCTCCGACAATGTCCCGGTCTCCCTAGAACCTAGCTTCTTCCCCTCCCTGGCCCCCAGGAGACTCAACGAATCGTTTCAACCTTAGTCCATTGAGGAGTGGGAATCTGGGGAAGGGGTGCTGAAGGTTTGAAGGGGGAGTCAGAGGCAAGCCTGCCTGCTTGGGGGGCATAGAGAATCTGTGGTCACCGGGTTCTGAGCCTGGGCTTTCTCTGCTGCCCAGCCTCCTCCCTTTCCCCCTGCATGCCCTGCGGCTCCTCTGAAGTCCAGCATGGGCCGTAGGCTTTGGGCCTGAGCCCAGGGGCTCAGCTCTCCCCCGGGGCCAGGCTTGCTGGGAAGAAGCCCCTTCATCTCTGTCTTCTGCTGCCAAAAGCTCTATCCATATCGGTCCAGCCTCGTCCCACCGCCTCCCCTCGGCTCCTCTGCCTCCCAGGCTGCCTGCTCCAGGACAGACTTGTTCAGAGAGGGTTCGGTGTCTCCTTTCCACCACCCCTCCTTCTGGCTCCAAAAACCAAGACCTGTTTAGAACACAATTCCACCCGGATCTGGGGCTCCCTTTCTGCCAAGGGGAGGTGTAGGGATGTGTGTGTGAACCGGAGGGGGGGGCGGGCTGCTCTCAGGCTGAGGCCTGGCCAGAGGAACAGTATCCTCTGGGGACAGTGTGCCTGAGGTCAAGAAACTTTCCTCCAAGAAAATCCGTTGGCCCAGACTCTCAGACAGGCTGCCCAGGCCTCACAGGGACCCAGGAGACACCTGGGTGATGGCCCAGGGCAGGTCTGGGGCAGCCTTCTCCCCTCCCAGTTCCCCCATCCCTCCCTCACTAGGGCATCCCTGCTCAGAGATGGAAATGCTCCAGGGCCAAGGTCTGGGGAATAGCCCCTGGTGCCTCCAACTCCAAGACTGGCCAGAGAATTTCTAGAAACAACCAGCTCTCCAGGCTCTTTCTCGCTTTGCCAAGTCTACCTTAACCCCACCTTGGTTATGGTCGGACTCTTGTTTGGGCCTCCTTCCTCGGCTGGCCTCTCTGCCTCCCCTGCCCTTTTCTCCCCTCTCCAAGCCATCAGATGGATGTTCCCAAAGTAAGGCTTTCAGCACGTTACTCCCTGGGTGCAGAGGCTGTAGGTAATAGGAAGCTGCTTAGAACGGTTGAGGGGCATGATGAAAGCACTGTTGTTAGCTGAAGAACAAAGCTTTCACCTGGCATTCAAGGCCCTCTCTGACTTGGCACTGATTTACTTCCTCCACTGCTCCTCTCCTCCATGTCCCTTCCCCTTCTTCTCCAGAACACACACACACACACACACACACACACACACACACACACACACACACACACACTCCTTGAGTTTTCCTGCCTCCAAACTTTTATTCATGTAATTCCCTCACTTGGAGTATCCTTTCCTCTTCCCTCTGCCTCTCCATCCTACTCATCTTCAAGGCCTAGTTCTAATTTCACCTTTTCTTAGACTTGCATTTTGCCATCCCCAGGAGCCATATTGCATAATGGGTAGCGCTCCAGCCTTTAGATTTGCTTCTGACACCTTTTGGATGTGTGACCCTGGACAAGTCATGTCACCTCTCTGAGCCTCAGTTCCCTCATCTCTAAAATGGAGTTAAAACTATTTGCACTCTTTCCATCATAGGGCTGTCCTAAGGGAAGGAACTTGTGTCCTTCCTTTTTTTCTTTCATTAAGTGACTTGTCCAGGGTCACAAGGCTAGTAAGTGCCTGAGGTTGGATTTGAACTCAGATCCTCCTACTTCCAGGGCTGGTGCTCTATCCAGTTCACCACCTAGCTGCCCCCATTCATTTCTTTTCATTAGCAGCATGATCTTTTGGAAGAAATGCTGGACCAGGAATCAGGAGCTTTTTAGCCCCAGCTCCATCCCTGATGTGCTTACTGCGTGACCTTAGGTATGTCACTTCTTCAATCTAACATGAATAATAACAGTAATAATAATATTTGCTGCACCTTCCCAACAGTTACCTATTTCTATTAAGCACCATCCTGCCCCACCGCTGGTCCTAGGAAGAAGATTTGGACGCTTCTGGATTCGGGTCCTGCCTTGGACACCTTCTAATCTTATGACCTTGGTCGTTACTCATTTGATTTCTGTTTCCTCAACTGTGAAATCACGGGTGTGGACCAGATTATAGATGTGGAATTAGAAGGACCTGAGAGGTCAACTTGTCCAGCCCTCTCATGTTACAGGAGAGGCCTAAGGAGTCGGTCAAGCAGGGAGCAGACCCTACTGCCTCTTTCAGACCTCCCTCTGTAATCCTGAGACCCTCTGTCTTGGGTCAGTCAGACAGATAGGGCCAGCACCATTCTTAGTTTAAAGATGAGGAAACTGAGGTTGACAAGGGCCAAAGTGACTGGCCTTGGGTCCCTGCTGCTAAAGCAGAGCCAGGAGCCGGACCCAGCTGACTCCTGACTCCAGGACCGGTCTTCCTTCCACTGGGGCCACGCTGTCTCTCAACACTAATAATAAACAGGAGAAGGAAGCCTGCAGGGAGGCCGGAAGATCTGGGTTCAAAACCCGCTTCTGACACATACAGGCTGTGGGACCCTGGGCAAGTCCCTGAAACTCTCTCTTCCCTGGGTAATTCCTTAATTCCAGAAGTTGCAGAGCCACGTTGTTTGAGGAAATTTTCTGACTAGAAGTTCCCTCCACCAATAAAACGATGAGGCCTCTCCTCTCTGTATCCCTCCTCCCAGTAGCTAATAATAGTAACTATCATTTAATAAAGTACTTTAAGGCTTAAAAAGCACTTCATGCATTTTATCTTTACAGCAACC